GAGAGGTAATCATAATACAAAAGCAGTGCCTCGGAAATTTAATTTGTCAAATATGAGAATATTCACACGTCAAATGGCATCACTAATTCACTCCAAAACGCCCCCAATATATCAATACTCAGCAGTTGCGCCAACCGTTTCCCATGAGGAAATGGTTGACGATACCAATAATAAAAACCCCGAAAGCGAAAGCCATTCCAAAAAAAAAAAAAAAAAAAAAAAAAAAGAAAAAGAAAATGAATACTTTTATACGAAAAAAAAAAAAACATCCCATCTAGGACCGTTTCGTTTCATACGAAATAAAATAACCAAAAACCCCTTTCACGGGGCGCAACCGCGGCGGTCGGCGTAAATAACACCCCCGACCCGGAAGGACAGTTGAAAATAGCAAGCCAAACGCGAAAGGAGACGCGAGCCTCCACTCCACGAACGGGTTCGGTCCCAAACTTTGGGCGACACGTCCCGCCCCGGCCAAGATGGGAAATCGCCCGCCTCTTTTTGGCCCCGCGACGGCGCCTAACGGGGCGAGCGGCGGAAAGAAAGGTCCGCGTGGCCGCCCCCGCGTCCTAACGCGCCGCCGCTTCCGCAAAGCCCTCGCCTTTCCGAAAAAACCGCCGGGCGCCTCCCTCCTCCTTCCGCGCGCAGGCCCTCGGGAGAGCGAGGCGCGGCCCCCGCTGCCGCTCACTCTGTGGTGGGTGGGGGTTTCCCTTCGCGATTTTACCCGGCAGGTGGCGGGCGGTGTGCGGGCCGCCGGATTTATTGGGGAAAGATGCGGGGGACAGAGGACAATCGGGCATGCGAGTGTAGGAATTGATGAATATTTGACAATAACGTTATCTTTTTATAGTTATATTGAAAAATGAGTAAAAAGGCAAAATGACGAATTATTCTATACGCGAGGACCGATCTAAAAGTAATGAAGAGAGAGAGGAAGGGGGTTAATCTATACCTATAAATAATATGATTGCAAGTAAATAAAGATAAATAATAAATTAAGTAAATAAAAATCGGTTGATCAATCAATCAACAAGTTGGAAATACAAATAATAGATAAGAATAATCTTCCGGGCAGCTGGCCGGATCCTGAAAATCTATGGAACCAAACAAGTTAAGAAAAAAGGTTTGTTAGTTATTTGCTTCAATGTTTTCTTTTCATTCAATATATAGAATTCTGTGGACCACTAGCATGGTTCTTAGTCCTCAGTTAGGATTAGAATATTACTTACGAAGTGGCAGACTTTGGGGTCCTCCAACCACAAGACCCCGCCGCGTGGTGGGAATCAAAAGGGGGTGGGTGGGATGGCAAAAACAAAACAAATATTATCTGGCCTCTATCGGCTCCCTGCCCCTACAAAGTCGCGTTCTTGCCAAAAGATTCATACGGTAGAAAGTATCATAAAGAATGCCTTCATTTATCAGGATGTATATACACTAGTTAAGTTAGCCAGCTCTCCCACGATCATTCTCTTCACAAGCTCCTAATAAAGGAAAATCAATAAATAAAAATAAATAAAAAATATAAATTAGGAATAGATGAAAGCAAACAAATATGAACGTGAATAAGTATAACTAGGAAAACAAATATAGATAAGTTAATTTAAATAGCCAAATAAGGAAGTAAATGTAAATAAATGGTGATAAACGAACATAAGTGGATAAATGTTGATAATGAGTTATAATTATAAATAAATGAAACAAAAGTATGATTGTAAATAAATGTGGAAATAAATAAATAAATATTATCGAAAATATAAAACAATTCAATAAATAAATGTAAATAAATAATTTTAAATCAATAAATAAATAAATAACCATATCAGGTTATTTGGCTGGGTCGCTGGCCGGATCCTGAACTCATCTATAGTTATTAAGCAAATGGGGCAGAAGGAAGGGGTGAACGGAGAGACAGTAGATTCGCATCATTTTTAGCTCCAAATATATATATACATATTCTGATAGCCACTCTCGTGACATGCCGCACCTTCATAGGATTAGAAATATTATTGGTTAAAAAGTGGTGGAATTTAAGATCTTCCAGCTACACGACCCCGCAATGAGGGGAATCAAAAGGGGCGGGTGGGAAGGTAAAAATAAAAATAAAAATAAGGATGAATCATCTTGGCGTTATTGCTCTTTTTTTTTTTTTTTTTTTTTACCCACGGCCTGCCAAACGATTATAAGATGGGAGAAAATTCGTACAGAGTTCGTTTATCAGGAGATATGTGTTTATTAAATTAGCTAGCCACTTTTCTTGGCGAACATTCTTTTCAGAAGCCACTAAAAATATAAATAAATTTAAATAAAAACTGTGGGCAATATATATAAATATGAAAATGAACATTGATGGGAGTAAAAATACGTCTTTATGGACATGTAACTATATTTATATTTGTATTCATATTATTAGGAGCTTGTGAAGAGAATGATCGTGGGAGAGCTGGCTAACTTAACTAATGTATATACATCCTGATAAATGAATGCATTCTTTATGATACTTTCTACCGTATGAATCTTTTGGGAAGAACGCGACTTTGTAGGGGACAGGGAGCCGATAGAGGCCAGATAATATTTGTTTTGTTTTTGCCATCCCACCCACCCCCTTTTGATTCCCACCACGCGGCGGGGTCTTGTGGTTGGAGGACCCCAAAGTCTGCCACTTCGTAAGTAATAAATACTTCAAATCCTAACTGAGGACTAAGAACCATGCTAGTGGTCCACAGAATTCTATATATTGAATGAAAGGAAAACATTGAAGCAATTAACTAAAGAACCTTTTTCCTAACTTGTTTGGTTCCATAGATTATTTCAGGATCCGGCCAGCTGCCCGGAAGATTATTCTTTATTTATATTTTTAAATATGTATATGTTTTTCTCTCTGCTTCTTATTGACAGATTGCTTGGTTGGTTGATTTATTGGTTTGCTAGTTTGCTGATTATATGTGTATGTCAATAAAAAATATTAATATTTACTTATTCCAACATTTATATACTTGTATTTGTTTATATTTGTATTTATATTGTTTATTTATTTGTGAATTTCTAGTTTTGTTTTATTATGTATTCTTTTTCCGTGAATCCACACCTGCTTTTTTAGAGCGCATAGGCATTCCGTCCCGCAGACAAGGTTTCATATGCACTGAAGCACCCCATCGGACAAAATGTCGCAGGGGGTTTGCGAAGCCCATCCCAATTGAATGATGATTGCTATCTTCTTTGATCTCCTGAGGAGCTGCGACGTGTGAGTGCGTTGCCCCCGAGACTCAACACAATGACAACTTTCAACGAGCAGTTTGCAGGCATATTGTGCAGTTTTCTTGAGGTGTAGCCCACACCCGTATTTTGGGAGTGAATGCACGGTGTACCTGTAGGGGATGCTGAGGGTGGCGTCAGCGAGGCATGGGACAACATGTACTCCGGAACAAGTGTGTGGCGTTGGCCAGAGGAGGTCCTGTGCCAACGGCATCACTGATTGATGGCCAGTGATTTTGGGGCTGGGAGCTTCTTTGCTTTAAGGAATGGAACGCTGCTGGCTGACCAGGTGCCACTCGCCATCCAATCCCTCCTGGATGTGGCTTAAGAGACGATGCGGGCGCATGCAGAGGGGGAAAAGGAAATAGGACATTGTGTGGGCATGCACGTGGACGTGTCAGATGGTCACAATATCCCTCAAAAAGTGTGGAGCTCACGAATTGATGATTCGACCGTCCTGATAAAACTGCCTGGGGTGGAGGTGAGTGCGCTGACTTCCGTTTCACCGAATTTTTTTTTCATCTGACAGGCTGCGCAGCTGACGTGGAGGGAAATCATGCGCACCTGTTTCCGGCGGGTGCGATGCTGTTTCCCAAATTTGAGGGCGATTTCCCCGATGACGCGCTCTGCCATCCTCACTTGTTTTATTCGGCGACACGTCGCAACGCGGGGTTGGTGCTGAGCGACGAAGGCTTTCCGTCTCGGTTGTAACCAAAACGGAGAGCCCATGAAGAGGCATGCTGCTCGCGGTTGGTTGATGCTTGGCCTGGGAGGAGTCTGAGTGCCGCCGTGGAGCATTTCTCATCCGCTTGATTGCAGAGCCCTCTACACATTGCACATGTCTCGTGCTCCTGAGTAATGCCGATAGGGCGGATCGCATGGTGGTGTTTTATTGCTGGAAGGCTCTGTGAGGAGGAAAAATATTATTTGTTTGTTCTTTTTCCTGGATGAGACGAATCCGTTCTTTGATTGAAGTACGAGTGCCTTGTCGCAGTTCTTTTTGGCCGTTGGTGGCTTTGGTGTTTATTCCAATCAATGGCTCTCACTGGCGGCTTCAAGGCCTAATATCGACTGGCGTTGTCGTTCTTGGGCCCACGTTGCTTGGCCCATCAATTATTTGTGCAACTGGAGAACAAGTTCTCTGTGGGCGTGGATCATGTTTCACGGAATATGGCCACAACGGCTGCTGAATGGGCTGGTGGTTGTTGCGTTCTGTATGACAATGTTCTTGCGGATCTCACTTTGTTGCGTGTAAATGATGTTACATCTGTGCCTTGCCGTGTGGCAGAGGCCTGAATCAACGGAGGATAGAGTGTTGTGATGAATTAGAGCACAGACAACCCTCGTGTTGCTCATCGTTGTGCTCGTTTTTACTGCGGTCCTCGACGTGGGAACATTTTATTTTGTGCGGTATGGAGAGCACTCCTCCGCTGGCATATTGCCGTGTGGTGGTCTCTGGTTCAAAGGACCCTGTGGAATAGTTTGTGAGGGCGAAGGGTGATGGCAGGACTGTCGTGCCGGCACAGACGGAGACGAGAACAGGGTGGTTGATGTGCCCTGCAACATTGCGCTCCCAATTGCGTCATTGGATGCGTGCAGAGCAGGTGGCTCTTTGGTTTTTGTTTGCTCCACGGCCAACCCGCTGGCCCCTTTTGAAGGGCATTCAAGAGCATTTGTTCTCTGAGGGAGTTTCTGCAGGGTGGTCCGCACACTGCAGTGTCCGCTCCATTGGGCTTTTTCTTTGGTGAGAGGATGGTCTGTTGCACTTCTTGGTCCCCTGTGGAGGGGGAGGGTCATGGAGCAACATGCCCGCCGTTTCGGTGGTGGCGCACCGCTTACTTGTGGCTGCGTTACGCAGGAGGCATAATCCTTTGTTGCAGGATGAAAGCAACGTGTTCTTGTCCCTTGTCAGCAATGCACGGCCTTCTTGTTATTTTGTTTAGGTGTTTCTGCAGGACAACGAGTTTGCAAATGGTTACGAGGGATGTGTGGCTGCAGGGGTTGAGTGCCGCTTTGTTTTCTTTTTCTGACGGGCGGTGTTGAGTAATTACAGGCGCTTGCAGATGTCATTTTCAATGTGAGGGCAGGTGTTTCAGCCACCCGAAGCGCGGCTGTTGGGAAGACGAGTTTCACTCATGCAGCTGAGGCAGGCATCAAAGGGGCGAATGTGCGGGCCCACCATCCTACTTTCTGTACTGTTTTGCCGCGACGACTGGATCTGATTGCCAGCCAAATTGAGCCGTCGCCATGTGGCCGCAGCGTTGTCTCGAAGGGATCGAGAGGCCGCAGGGCACGGCTGTTGTATTCATCCGTGGAAGTGTCACGGGGGAAGAAATGCGAGCCTTTCGGCATCTGGCATCTCGCTGCCTTTTGATGCCATATTCGGTGAGTCCGTGGGTACTGTCTGGTGCTCCTGCCTTTTACTGGATGATTGGAACTGCTGAGATGTGGAGGGTATTTGCTGCACCTTCTTTCGGTACCTTTGTCGCACGCCGTGTTCGAGACGGTTTTCAATTGCCGCACTGCATGGGGTGCTGCAAGGCACTAATTTATGCCACGCGGTGGAAATATTTGACGTCGTTGAGGTGCCCTTGGAGGGTGGGAGTGGCGATCCTCCGGCGCGGGTCATCACTGACAGGTTCACACGCCCCTTTGAATTTGCTGTCCCTTCTTTGTACGTTCATGAACTGACCGCGGATATTGCAGAATATATTCAGGTTGCTGCGGTGCTCCATACATTCAAGGTGTTGTCCTCCGCGCCGTCAACCTCGGCAGTTGATCGAGCGGTCTCTTTGAAGGATTCGGGAGGAGGATCCGTTTAATTTGTTTCGCGGCTGGAGCCACTTCCTCCATTTCTTTCAGCTAGACACACCCACACCGTTACTTTGCGTTCTCTTCCCTCAATGGGGAGAATGGGTGATGACGAACCTTGGGAGACGGCGGCTCTTTTTGTTGCATCGCCGGAGATCGGTCAGCGGCAGTTGATGCATCAGCCCTTCCTGAGGGTCGGTGACAGAAACTCTGTTGCTTAGACGATTTGGATGGGAGTTCACTGGGGCAAAATCCGCGCTTTATTTTCGTGCTTATGCCGATGGGATGCAATTATTCGTTCCTTCCCGTGATGCCTCGTGTGTGCCATGAGACTACATTGAGGAGAGCTCGAGGTGCTATTGGCCGTGCTATTTTGTTATGCACCACGGCTCTTTTCGGTGTGTGATTCGACTGTGTGGTGGGTCGGTTGAGGGGGAGGACGTGAATGGGCCGCGCTCACCCGACTACTGCGCCTCATTTTGCTGAACGCCCTGACCAAATTGCTGTTCTCCTTTTGCTTGCCTTACCGGGCCTGGCGACCTCTTGAGGAGCGGTGCGGCGGCGTGGACTGTCGGGCTTCTGAGGAGGCCGTGGCTGCGCGGGATGTCCTGCGGAATTTTTTTGCGTTTCAGGACTACTGTAGAGAAGAGGACATTTCATGCCTCCTTCACGTCCACGAGAGTAAATGGAGGGATCGCACTTCACGAGTGTCTGCGCCCGTTGATCGCGTCGACGGTGCGCTCTGTGTGTCCGCGACCCTTGCCGAAGCATCCCGCCGTTTTTCTTCCGGTGAACGGGAAAATCCATCGACACGCCGAGGGGGTGGTGGGGGATATTGCAGCGAGGAACGCTTTAAAGGCCCTGCAATCAGGGAGCGCTGCTTGCAAAGATCCCGCGGCACTTGGGATTTTGCTCGCCTTTAATTTCTGCTGTCTGTCTGTTGGTTGGTGCCGTTTGCCGGAGGGTGTATTGGCCCGTGCGCAAACGTCAATTTTTCTGCTTCTTTGTGCAGCCTCAGAGTGCTTGGGCCGTTGTGGACGGTGAGAGTAATTGCTGTGACGGTTACGACGACGTTGGTGTGTTACACTGTGGATGGTGGCGTCACCCACTCCTCTGCCACGTCCTGTTTTGGTGCTTTTTAGATTTTACTTTGATTTCTTGCACACAAACACACGCAGGCTAGGAAGGAAGCTACGACCAAGCGCGAATCGCTACTGTGAAATTCGAAGTCTCTGAAGGGACCAACAACAGCACACATTGCCCACACACACACACATATTTATATGCTCTCACGTGCTGCTGCAGTGAAGGCACCCCGCACACACAACCGTCGCCGTGTGACCGGATCCAGCGGAAGGAGGAGGGAAGGAGGAGAGAGTGAGCCGCAGAGGCCCAACATGTCCCGGCGTGTGTTTAATTCCGCGGTGCTGCTCCTACTTGTCGTGTTGATGTGTTGTGGTGGAGCTGCGACCGCTGAGGTGGGAAGTAATGCTGTTGCTTCAACTCCTTCTGGGTCGACATTGACGGGTGTCATTGCTGGAGAGGGGAGCACTTCAGGGGGTGTTGAGGGGCTGCAACGGGTCGATCTATTTGTGCCGCAGACGACGCAGGTGCTGCCGAAGAAGGGGACTACTGACTCAAGTGGGAGGGATTCATTTGTTTCACCCTCTCTTGTCAGTGCTGGTGGAGTAATTGCTGCTTTTGCCGAAGGTCACATAAATGCCAAACCCCCCCATAACGAATCAACTAAGCCGTCTTCTGATGTTGTTGCGGAGTACATCGACTCTGCGTGGGAATGGCCCACTCTTGTTGAAAAGGTCGTTAAAGGAACACGGAGTGCACACACCGTGCTTGGCAAAGCGGAGGGAGAGGGGATTTTGGATGTTGTGCGCCACCCCACAACAACGATGAAGGGCAATAAGGTGTTTCTTCTTGTGGGAAGCACTGCCTTGTCCCCTGTAAATGGGAGTTGGAAAGAAGGCAGCCTGGAACTAAAACTGGTTGTTGGTGAGGTCACGAAGCCTTCTGCGGGCGGCGAGCCGAGTGAGTGGATCAAATGGGACGAAGTTCAATCGCCGGTGCAGCAGACTACTTTAGCTGCTCACAAAGGTAACTTGACGGAGTGTATTGCTTCTGGTGGCTCAGGTGTTCTGATGGAGGATGGCACGATTGTGTTTTCTCTGATGGCGATGAATGAAAAAAATGAGGTTGACGTTTACTCCATGATTATTTACTCGAAGGACAACGGCAGTACCTGGTCGCTCTCTAAGGGCATGTCCCCTGCGAAATGCGGTTCACCCCGCATCACCGAGTGGGAGGGATCACTTCTCATGATTGTTGACTGCGAGAGCAGCCAGAGGGTGTACGAGTCGCGTGACATGGGGACAACGTGGACGGAGGCCATCGGGACGCTTCCAGGCGTGTGGGTCAACTCAGGATCGGAAGCCTCTCAGGATTCAAGCCTGCATGTGGATGCTCTCATCACCGCGACCATTGGGAAAAGGAAGGTCATGCTGTACACACAGAGAGGGTACGCCACGGAGGGGGAAAACGCCAATCCGCTCTACCTTTGGGTGACGGACAACAACCGCTCGTTTTCTGTTGGACCGGTTGGCATGGACAGTGCTGGGAAGAAGGAGGTCGCCAGCACCCTGCTGTACTCGGATGGCAAGTTGCATCTTTTACAACGGAGGGTCAGTGGTGAAGGCAGTGCCATTTCACTCTCCCGCC